ACTAAAATATATTAAAATAATATACAATCTGAGAAATGAAAGTTACAAATATACAAAACATTTAATTTTTATCACCAAAAATTCTAATAGGTATACGGGGCTATACTATTGTATACCCGCGTATCGCCATTTATTTAGAGTATACGCTAAAAAAAAACTTTAGAAGTGAGTGTACGCCTTATACCTCCATATACCCCCCTAATACACCACTGCCTATTGTTATCTAAAATAAAACACAATGCCAATTTAGCTTGAAATGTGTTTAGTAATGTACACATATGACAGTGAAAGTAGCATAAATACAACATAATATGGGCTGATATAAAAATTGCCATCTCTATATTATTCTTACAACTCTGTGAGACGCCACATGAGGATTTGTTATCTCCATCTCACAAACGTTCAATATGGACAATTTTATAATCCACAATAATTGTTTTGCTCTGTATTTTCTAAAATTAGAGTTAATTTACCTCTTATAAAATTTAAAGTCAAGAATGTTATCTAGGGCATCTCGTAAAATTTTATTTATATTTTTATTTTTGAGTAAGTTATAGTCATTTTTAAATTGTTTATTTTTTTTTTTTTTTTTGTACATTTTAAAATGATCATAACTTACTTAATTATGATAATATCAATAAAATCCTTCGAGGTGTCTTAGATAACATTCTTACCTTTAAATATTTCATAAGAGACAAATTCACTCTAATTAAAAAAATTAAAGAGTAAAATGTATTATTTTGAATATAAATTTGGTATATTTTATGTTTGTAAGATGGAGATAACAAATTAACAAAAATTAATAATAATAGACTAAACCCTTGTCCAAGCCACAGAAAAATTTGTCAACGAAAATGTTATCAACATGTTTTTGATAAATGATTCTTGGTCTGAGCTTAATAATTACGTTTAATTTATCCTAACATGGAACATTTATTTTATAATATATGTGTGTATACATATACATAATGTTAGTCCTTATGAAATAAAAAATTCAAGATGAAGTTTGTTTTTGTTAATTATTTACAATAATAGTTCTAAGTTCTGTTATAAAAATACCTTAAATAAAGTAAGATACTTTTTATTAAGTGTTTTGTAAATGTGTTCATACATTTTAACAAAAAGTTACTCACAGAATGTAATTTTATTTATTTTATTTAATGTATTGAAAACTAATTTATTGACAGTTACTATTAAAAGGATGTGATACCCGCATAATATGTTGTCTCCGTCTTACACGTCTGCAACATAGCAAAAACTGTTTTGCACGGGAACCGAGAAGTCTACATTGTTAACTAAGAAACCAAATTAACTAAGAAAATAAAAAGGAGAATTTTAACTGTGTCACAGTGTTTTTATTTTTTAATAAGACCAATATATCAAAAGTTATTGAAGTATAGAAAACTTAAAAATATTGGATTTTTAAAACTTTTATAACTTGTTTTATAAATGATATTAAGCAAATAAAAACGCTATGACAGAAAATATCATCTTCTATATTGTATTAACTTTTTGAATTTCTACTGGGAGTATAGACTAAGTGGTTCTATCCCACACTAAACAGTTTTTGTTATGTTACGCACTTGTAAGATTGAGACAACACATGCAGGTATCACATTCTCTTAACACTATTGTAAATTCTTCTGGTAAAAACAATCATAACAACTTATTGAAACATTTTATTCACATTTGTTATACAAATTATATATATACACATTTTTTTTGTTTTTTTTTTTCAGTTAAATGGGTTGGAGTTGGCCAAGGAAGAGAATCAATGATTAATGTTGAAAATTGATATTTGTTTTTAAATATTCACTGAATAAGATTTTAATGTTATTTTCTTTTGTGAAAATTTTAACTGGAAAAATTTTTTCTGGTAATAAATATTTTTTTAATATTTATATATAATATATATATATTTTTTATAACTAAATATGTCTATTGTTTTCCATGTTGTTAAATTGTTAAACATATTTAACTAAAAATAATATCTCGTTACTAATGTAATAATGTATACTGTAAAACACAATTAAAGATTTTACCACATCTATATGAGCTGTTATTGTTTTTAATTTTGATCAACTGTTCAAACTACAAATTACATAATATAATTCATGCTAATCATTTATCTTCTTCATAGTATTACCATGAGCAGTGGTTCCCAACCAGTGTGTCGTTTATTATATTGATGTCCATCACCGAAAAAATTGTTTATATATATTGTGTACATGTATATGTACATGTTCAAAGTATACAATATATTATGACATTATAATGGCATTATGATCTGATGATCATCTAACCACAGGCGAAAAAACAATTGTGAAGATATAGTCTCATTATCAATTAACATACATAATATTTATAATTTTTCCTTTATGACAATATGACGTGATGGTAAATACCAGATAAGAAAAACAACACTGAATATAGTCTCATTATCAATTTACATATAGGTTGATGATTATCACTTTTTCAAAAAAGGATTAATTGTTTTGGGTCTTTGTTTTTAAAAATCTAAATTAGGATATCACTAAAAGAAAAAAGGTTGAGAAGTACTAATTTAGAGCAACATAACTACTGCTCAAATCTAAAATAACGAGTATGTGATGCAGTTATGCATTTCCTCGTCTCTGGTCTTACTATATTATGATATGAGGTATAAACACCTTTTGTTAATTTTACGCCATGACATAGTGATGTTCATAAACTTAATTTGAGTGTATTGGGTGTGATTTGACTTACAGAACTATCAATGAATTGCTATTGAAATTTAGAAAATAATAAATTAAATACTTAGGCTGTTTTCAATACATTTTTTTAAATGAATATATATATATAAGTTTTATCTATAATATTTGTATTAAATTATCCCTATTATTATAGTCTACGAGAACTCCACATAACTATTTTTTTAAGGGATTTGATATAGGCAATTTTAATAACTTTAAATAACATTTTAAATCTTAAATGTATACCAACTACCTATCATACCCTTATTAACTCTAATTGAATTTTGTAAGCTACATTAACTAGCATTTTGTTCTTAGTTGTCAAAATTATCAATATTACCTATATTGTATTATAGAAAATATTATTAATAATATTAACGCTATCAAAATTGTACATACACAAATACTTGTAATAGCATGTAATGTGTTGAAACGTATTAATATTCAGTAGGTAAATAAATAGTATTAAGTATTTAACTATAAATTCAAAGTTATTTACTTGTTATTCTATGTCTATCATTGTAAACTATTTCTTTTATTATAAAAGTATGTTGTAAAAGATTCACTTAGCTACACTTCATTTGAAATAACCACATTTGTATACAATAAAGAAGAGTATTGGCCGACGGCTGTGTCACTGTCTCAGTTTTATTTTTGATATTAATAATACAAAAAAATATAATTGTTTAAATTTAGTTATTTGTTTATTTTTCAAACTGTATTAATTGTTTTCATKTTCATGATATATAATGATGTATAAAAAAATTAATAAAAACGCTAAATGTTGACTTCTTGTTTTATTAATATTTTTCTCGTGAAACCATTCTTCTATATATTATGCAATCTCCTAATTACGCACTGGATAAAAATGGGTCTAACAAGGAACCATTTATGTTTTACTTTAAAATTGTATTTAAATTATGTTTAAGTCTAAAGTTATAACATTTTATAAATGTTATAATTGCCTATATAAAACCCCTTAAAAAGTGAGTATTGGTTCCGTTATAATTAATATCAACTCTGTGGTCTACACACAATAAAGCAAATTTGCATTCAGCAGAACCAATTTTGCCTTTGTGTTATTATCTTCAGTATTAGAATGAATTGGCCAATATAAACATCTTTAACTATGTATATTTATTAGGTATTTATTCAATGGCCATTTATAATCTGTTGCGTTTCTCTCCTATCGCTTCTACCAAACGTAGGTAATCACATATACATGTAAATAATTCACAACTGTTAACCTAATATTGTATGCAAAATTGAATTAGTTATCAAATTATATTGAGATTTCTTGCTTAATTACCATAGAAGGTTAAATATGGTRGATGTCTGGCAAATGTTGTTTGAACTGTGTTATAGAAATAATCTGCAGGGAAAAAGTTCCTCGGTTCTAACCCCTCCTAAAATTTTTTCTCCTTCAAAATAATCTCTTTTACCACCATAATCAGTAAATCGGGTAGTCCAAGACTGTAGAATAAAACTCAATTTAAAAATGTTTGTATTATTATTCTTATCTTGATATTTTTTTGTTTTGTATGTAATACCCTTCTATACATATAAATATATAATTATGAATTTATTTATTTGTGCTTAGAGAGTTATTGTGATATTTATAAATATCATAACTTGCTTAAATATTTCAAATTACATATAGCAACTTAAAAACTGAAATTGATAATGGAACTGCAATTTTGCATAATAGCTAAAGATTTATATTGTTTTAAAATAAAAAAGATTAAATTATGATAAAATTTGAAAAATTAAAATCAAAGAAATTGAGTCCATGAGTTGTAAAACGAATGTTGAAAACTAAAAAACATAAATTACATTTATAAACTTCAGGTTATCTTAAACATAGAAATTAAAACAAGTTTGCTACATTTTTTTAAGTTTATAAATAAAATGAAATCAAAATTTCTCAAATAAATTGTTTTAGGGTATTTTCATTATTGTATAACAATAAAATTTTATAAATTATTACGTTCAGAAAAAAAATATTTTCTTGAATTTCAGTTTCTTGGCATTCCGTCTCTGGTATACGTCATCATGTAAAAATTTTTTTTCGACGGTTCCCACAAAATACGAGTACAATAAAATAGTTTTTCAAAAAGATACGGGTTTATTTATAAAAATTCCAATAAAATACATTTCACGAAAAATACGGCCCCTGCAAGGATATACGTCAACCATAAAATACGATTAAGACAAAATTTCAATTTAATATTATTCCAACAAAAAATGATTCCAATAAAATACGATCCCGACAAAATATGGTTCCGACAAGGTGACAAAATATTTTTCCGATATATATAACGGTTCTGATATAATATTTTCTACTATTTTACAGCCCTCCTTTATGTTCATGTTCATAATACTATTATAAATCTATAATTTATTAATACAAAAATTACTAAAAATGTTATATGTTTCACTAATTATTTAATAAATATCAAGTAACTACAATTACTTTATTTCAGTTTTTGAGATGGGGGAAAAAAGTTTTGATCGGCCCATATATAACTAAAAAACAAAACAAAAAAACCACTCGCTAACAATTACATTTTTATCTCAAAACAAATATCCTTTTTACATAATTGACAATTGTATACATACTAGTTACTATATTACGGTAATCTGAGATAAAGCATAAATAACTTATTTTTTGAGGGATAAATATGACTAAATAATACATATTGTTATACATGTATACCTAATGATATGTTCTTTGCAGATTACAGAGAGATACCCAATATCACCTATTAGCTATTATATTATGACTGATTTTGAAAGGAATTTTACCACAATATTGATGATGTCTTATTTACGCCGAATATGAGTATAAATGTATTTACAAAACATACAATAAATTATTAATTTATGTTTTAAAGTGTTTCTTAGATAGTTATAGAAGTTAGGCTTGAGTTAGATGATGTCTAATCTTCACAGCACGAAACATGTCGGCAGCTTGATTTAAATCTGTTAGTGAAGCTAATGAAATAATTTGCAATGTTAATTTATAGCGGGCTTGCAGCCAATATCCGTCCCGACAGCGGCTCGCTAATGATAAGGGGATGGGGAAATGCCCAACCCGCCCCTCCCTAAATGACGCCACTGCTTTATTTTATAGCTTATAAAGTTGTAATGTCATAATCTATATTTATAAAATATATTGCGTAAGAGGAAAGGGAAAATTTCACGACTCTTACACACTAAATAATAATACTAAAAAAGTTGTTTTATAGGTAGGTACCTATTCCTAGGTACTTATTCGATATTTGGTTTTTTGTTTTTATTTTTGTAAAAAAAAATACCACCAACGTTAACAACAATATAATTGTCTTACATTTATGTAGATTGAAAACTATACGAATAATCAATGGCGTATGCAAAATTCTTTAATGGGGGAGGTTACCATATTATATATATATATATATATATATACAAAAAAATGTTTATACAATTGTATTCTTTTTATATTTAAAGACATGCACGAAAAAACTTTTTAAAAATGTATATTTAATGGTCTAAAAACACTAACCTATTAAGTTATAACTTAATATTAATTCGTCTGGACGATTTTGATAATTCATCTAGTACTGCGTCTGTTGAGATTTCAATATCCCGATGAATATTTTGCATTGCTAATCAACTTGGTGAATGGTAGGGGGGGGGGGTTAAAATTAAAGTATTTTAAAAGTGTTCTATTTCAGATGTAGGTACCTAACTGCTAACAACAATTGCTGCGTAATTTCGAGATTATATTGAAAAACGGTTTAGTATGCAGAAACTTACGGAAAAGTATTCGCAAGTTTTACAAATTTTCTTATCATTAATAGAAAAACTTTATTAGGTTGATAACGTTTATAAAAAATTCATAAAAACTAAACAAAATTAACTTATATGAATCGATGAATGTATGATTTTGATTGTCTTTAAGAATGTAAAATAAATATGATATGAAATAGATAACGTTTTATTTTATATGTGTAGGAGGTAGGACTGTAGTAGCTAGTGATAATTTGGCTGGGTTATGCCCGCTTGTTTTTTACCATCCTAAATTATCGAATAATTAATTTTACTGTGTCATATTTTATTGAATAATACCTAATAGTAATTATTAATAATGTAATTGGCACCTAC